TGCCATGCGATTGCATTTGTCTCTAACCACCGAGTGGAAAAGTGTTAGCGCTCATCCTCCAGCTTCACTGTGTTTATGCTAACATAGCTGCGTAGCTAGCGATCACGCAGCACATCATTATATAGCAGCTAGCCCAACTTCAGCAACCCTACAAACGTCACTGCTGTTTAGCTTCCTGTCTTCATTCATGTTGGAAGTGACAGCAGAGCTGTACGTTTGAATTTCAGAACATGCTGCATCATGTTTAGGTGGAAACTTCTAATGACGTCAGGATAACGCTCACACAGGGGGACGCTTTCTCTAGGTATACTTCCTGTTTCTGTAAATGGAGGGCAACAACTTCACTTCCTGTTTGATGGCAGGTCCACTGGAGCATTTGGGGGCATGGCCTACCTGCTGAAGGTCACTGTGGACCCCTCGTACTGTTCAAACAGCACAAACAAAGATGGAGGACAGGTCTGCTGCAGACGTGTCGTACGTCAGTATCACCTGACATGATCGGCAAGTCCAGCGTCTGACCCAGATGGCGTCTCCGGCACCATCACTGAGCCATCGGTGCTAAACGCTGCCCTGATCATCTCCACGCAACTGCCCGACGACAACCGTCCTATTCTAAGCATGCGCTGTGACACGGACAGGCTTGAGTCCACCTGACAGAAGCCCAGCATATCCTCTAAAGCACATGCTCACGTTAGAGGCCCCGCCTCCAACATGTGACACAAAAACAAACGCTCATGCCTGTTTACAAACTGAACATTTCTTCACATTGCTTTTGATCATAACAAACATTTGCTGTGACAGTCGATTAGTGTTTGTGTGCTGTGTGATCAGTCCCAGCCTCCACCAGCAGGTGTCACCGTTTCCTCTCTGTGATGGAGCAGATACTCACGCTGTCCAGCTGACCCTGCACGTAGGCCAGGTTCGCCATCTGAGGACACAGGTGAGCGATAAACAGGTAAACAGCTTAGTGTGTGTGTGAGAAGTTCACGGAGGTCAGAGGTCAGATGTTACCAGGCTGTAGGTGTAGATGATGGCCTGGTTGTTGTGCGTCTGATGAGCGAGAACAACGGCCTGATGGAGGAACCCCGAGGCGGCCTGCAGCTGACCCCGATGCACGCTGAGCTGAGACACACACAGAGTTGTCAGTACTGCTGCTGTAACAGAAGAAGACCCACTGACCCCACTGCTCTCACACAGGTGTAACTCTGTGACGGTGGGTTTAAGAGTATTTTTGAACACGGAGATTTTCCATTTTCATTTTTTTTAATCCCGTCCACATGTAAACGCTAAGAACAAAAAGTCTGGAAGCCTGGGAGGGAAAGAGTAAGCAGGGTTTTGTGACCTCACAGAACTTTAAGTACGTCTGAAAGTTCATGTTTTTCTAGTGACAGATAATTTTATGTTCCTTTCAAGTATTCATGTTGATAACCAAAGACAGTGTTTTGGTTGGTGCAGACTCGCAGCTGAGGAACGAACAAAGTGCAAACATACATTTAATTAAAAGAAAATACATTTATTCAAAACCAACGTCGGGATTTGGGTTGTGAGAGCGTCTGTGTTCAATTAGCAAGCTATGGTCCACTCGGCCAGAGGACGAACAATCAGTTAACCACCTGTCCCCTGGCTCACACCTGTCCCCTGTCACACACCCGTCCCCTGTCACACACCTGTCCCCTGGCACACACCCGTCCCCTGGCACACACCCGTCCCCTGACTCACACCCGTCCCCTGGCACACACCCGTCCCCTGGCACACACCCGTCCCCTGGCACACACCCGTCCCCTGTCACACACCCGTCCCCTGTCACACACCTGTCCCCTGGCACACACCCGTCCCCTGTCACACACCCGTCCCCTGTCACACACCCGTCCC